TTTTAAAAAAATTATAAAATCAATCATCTCAATCCATGATCTGTTGATTGGGTTTTAAATTATGATGTTTAATATATTATCCTCTTAAAATTAAATATAATTGAAGAAAAAAATTTTGAGTTTAATTTTTTTAATAAAATAACAAAATTTTAAATTTGTTTTATATTGAACATGCATTTTAGGACATTAGGTTAAAAAACAAACAAAGAGCTCAGCTCATAAAATAAACAAACAAACCTAAGGAAACCCAGTAACTGCAAAGGAAAAAAGAAAGTGAAAAAACAGAGAAGAAAATGGGGAAACCTTTGGGATCAACGGGAGAGTTCTTCAGGAGAAGAGACGAATGGAGAAAGCATCCCATGCTCACCAACCAATTCCGCCACGCGACTCCTGGCCTCGGCATCGCTCTTGTAGCCTTTGGCGTCTATCTTGTTGGAGAGCAAGTCTATAACAAGATTTATGCTCCTTCCTCTGACCACTCCTCTTCTCACTCCCACTGATATAGAGGATGTTGGTTTGTGTGTCTTTTTCCTCGAGGTAAGATGGGTTATATTTAAAAAAATATATATAATGGTGGGTTTTGTGATTCATATCTGTTTTGATGATTTATTCGACTGATTTTTTTGGTTTGGATTTGAAATTATGGGTAGTTGGCAAATGGTATTTCTTGTTTTTTTAATTTCTGTGAAAAAGTTTGGATCTTTTTATGTCTTGTGATTGATTATGGTGATGCAGTCTCTTAATTGTTTGATTTACCAGAGATTTTTGTTGCTGTCAATTGGAAATTGGAGGTTGTTCTGATTTGGATATATTTGTAATTAATAATTATATGAACTATTAGGGTTTGACTTGTGATTTTGGTTTGGTAACATGAGTGTGTTTTCTTGTTCTTGTATTTTCTATGATGATTGAAGTTTCTTGTTTATGAAATTGTGAATTTTTGTGTAATTTTAAGGTTTCTTTAAATTATTTTTACTTTTCTTTGAAGAGGTTTCTTATTTTTTCACTTGCCTGCGTTGCCTTTTTTTCCTCAAAACTTTTGGGGTCTTATGTAGTTTTTATTGGGAGTATATCACATTAATGTTGGAAACCTAAGGAATAAAGAAGGGAGCGCTGTTGGATTCTATTGTGGACAGGTGCTCATGATGATCATTTTCGGTTCCTAGGCTCTGTGTTGGAAAGCTAAGGAATAAAGAAGGGAGCGCCATTGGATTCTATTGTGGACAGGTGCTCATGATGATCATTTTCGGTTCCTAGGCTCTGTGTTGGAAAGCTAAGGAATAAAGAAGGGAGCGCCATTGGATTCTATTGTGGACAGGTGCTCATGATGATCATTTTCGGTTCCTAGGCTCTGTGTTGGAAAGCTAAGGAATAAAGAAGGGAGCGCCATTGGATTCTATTGTGGACAGGTGCTCATGATGATCATTTTCGGTTCCTAGGCTCTGTTGTCAAAAAAGGAGGGGCCATTAACAAAGATCTTAGCCATAGAATCAGAATAGGAAGATTAAAACCGAGAAGTGCAACTGGAGTGCAGCATCATTGTCTACCTTTTATTAATTATCATGAACATTTAGGCTGTGACTGCTTGACATGAACAAAAAAAAAAATTATGATTGAGGCAGAGTTGAAATGAGGATATGAAGATGAATGTAAAGATGCGTTAAGAGGATGAATGCTGCAAGACTGGATTCAGAAGGGCCTGTTGAGGGAAATTTTTCTTTCAGAATTTTTTACCATTAAGGTGTTAAATTTATAAATACATGGTACTGTAAGAGTGATTAGTTTAAAGTAGGAGGAGCGAAGGGTTGAAAGAGGTCAGAAATGGCATGGGAAGATGTACGAGAAAAGGATTTGGTGTCATGGTAGCTAATAGGAACTTTGTTCCCAAGCTTAACATAAGTGAGAAAAAGGATCCTTGTAGTTTGTTACAGGAATTAGGTTGTTTGTAGTTTGCATGAGAGAGCTTTCCTATTTTGAGCTGTAATGGGAGGTATCTTAGATTAAACAATGAACCCCTCGATGAATCTTTTGGTCATCAAGGCTAATAGGTTTTCAATTCCTTGTGTAGACTGTGCAATGTAAAATCAACAAGTTATAATGTGCTAATATACAATCACTGAACCAAAATTCGGAATCTGTATTTGTGGCAGTTGGAAATGTTCTTTTCTTGTTGTGCCACATCCAGGTTCCTTTACCATCAATTATAAGATGGGTTATCTATTATATTCACTAAGCATTGGCTGTGGTGGCTTGCTGCTTTTCTGAGAATCATGCATTTCTTTGAAATGTTAAGGTTTCTTCAATCATTTTCAGTTTTACTGAAATGAATATGTTTTAGCATGCCTGCTTTATTTATTTCCCCCTTTCCTTGTGTGATGTTGTTGTGATGTGGATTTGAAGTACAAATGGAGGAGTGCGTTGTGGAAGATGCCATACATGGAATTAAAATAAGATAGTTAAAACAGGGAATGTGCAACTGGGGTGTTATATGATTGTAAAGTTATTGTTAAACTGTAAGGTAGTTAAACTCATAATTAAATTGATTATACTCTAAAAATAATGAGCCAGGCACTAAACATTTTATGTATTAATGAAATCAGCGGACTTGAAGCATGGTTATTAAGATGGCTTTAAAAGAACACTAGAAAGGAGTGGATAGAAAGTTACAGTTCAAAGTATTTGAATTTTGAAGCATATAATGATGGTTTGCTGAACAAAATGTGGAAACGACTAAACTGGTTGGCTGCTTGTTTTTTTCTGCAAATCACACCTCTGTTATGCATTTTTCTCTACAATATACTGGAGCTAATATTGCATAAATACAAGGATGAGTTATTCTAATGTCTTGAAATGATTAAGATATGCTAATTGAAAGACAGGTATTTCTGTGTTAGTTTACAGTCTTGCATAATCACCTTGTTGCAGTTCCCATGGTTAACCGAATACCTACTAAAACAAGCTGGCACCATGGTAGAAATGGTTTTCTTTTATGTATTCTTGGAGGGATTGCTAATTCAACCTGTGTAAAACACTATTTATATCGCATTGAAATGGTAACATGTTTTGATGGGAGACCTGTTAAGGCTAATGCATGTAGACAAATTATGATCTGAAAGCCCTCGCCTTTTGTCTAATCTTTGGAACTTCAGTTGTTTTTGGCAAGTTGATTTTTAATGGATGACTGTTTTTGCAGATGGATGTTTGCCAGGATCCCGAAGCTTGGATTGCCTGTTAGGCTCGTGTTTTAATTCCTTATCCTCAGTAATTTGGTTCAATAAGTTTGTTTCACATTGAGACTTGGAGTCTGGTAATTTTACTTTGTATGTCCAGTTTTTGGAACATGGACCGTTGTAGATGTTTGTTTGCTGTATGATCATGTTCGCAATCCACCCATGGGATAAGACATTAAGGTCTTACATGCATCTTGGCTTGAATAAGATTTCATCCTTTTCTTTTCTTTTGTTTGTTCGTTCTGGGCTTTCGCCATTGCTTCCTTGAAACAAATCTAAATAGAGTGACCATTCTTCCAACTTTTCTTGTCTTCTTAACGCTAGGATCTCATGAGGGTCTGCAATTTATAGAAGATTGGATTTCAGTTAATTGAGGAACAAATGTCTGTTGCGTTTATTTTTGAGAATTTAGGTTGTACCGCGTTAACGAGCTTTGTGGAATAGTCAAATGTGAAAATAGTCGAGTATGAAAATGCAGAACTTAATATTAGTTTTTCTTTTCAAATAAAAGAATTAAATTATTATTTCATTAAAAAACTCAAGGATTAAATAATTATTATTATTTCAGAACTAGGGTTTTTGCATTTATACACTGCTTTGTCTCTCAGTTTTGTAACTCTTCACGATTCACCATGCTTTACGCGGTAGGAAGCAAAGCACCACCACCATTATTCTCATTGTTAATGGAAGCAGTAGTTAACAGCGAAGACCTGCTAACCGAAATCCTTGTCCTTCTTTCACTGAAATCTGTGAAGAACTCTTATTAACAAAGAGATTGAAAGAACTGAGGAGGAGAAACAGAAAAGGAAGAGGGAGAGATGAAAACTACAGTGGCAGATTTTCTCAGTTATTTTTTGAAAAACACATTACAGAAAGCATTCCTCTTATACGCTAAATTTCCTTCCAATTCTAACTGTCTAACTAACTAATAAACTTCCACTAACAGCTAATAACTGTCACTAACTGTTTTAATAACAATTTCACTTGTTAAAACCCTAACTACATCAAGATGACAATTTTGTTATTTTCTTCTTTATCACATAATTAACTCGCAACTCATTCTTTAGCCCACATGCATCTAATACTTTCCTGTTCCATAGTGTAACAATTTCCCCTCATTGAAAGGATTCATGACCTCCAGAATCTGCACAGAAATCTAGAAATTCCTTGCTAAGCTCATCAAGATCCTCCTAGGTGGCATCTTCCTCAAAAAGATTTGACCGAGCCCATTGTAGCAACCTTGTTGCCTTTCTTCATTAATTTCCTATTTATAATCACAATTAGAACCACTTTGACTTTACCAAATTCATCCATAATGGGCAATTTAGAAGAAAGAATTTTTTTTAGTAATGATATATGAAAAACTAGGTGAATTAAAATACCATCTAGCAACTATAATCTATAAGCTACGACACCAAATCTTTGAATCACCTCGTAAGGGCATAAAACCTGGGGTTGAACTTGAAATTCTTTCTACATATAGTCCTTGACCTTTAGCACTGCCTATACAACGATTTAGACTTATTTCTTTCATTATTATTCAGTTTCAAGGCAACATGGCAGCCATAGGAAGCTTTTCACAACACAGATCAAGTTCATCCACCAAATTTCCTTGCCAAATCATAAACCCAAAATAGAAATTGGATATATCTGCCTCTGGTCAAGGAATAATTAGCAACTTGAGATATTTAGTCGATCCATGAGTTTGTTTCCAGTTAAACATTTCTTTCAACCACATTCATAAACCAGAAGTTAAACCAGAAGTTAAACTCAGTTGCTAATTGTATTGTTGAAACTAAGAATACAAAGGGGAAAACAGAAAGTTGTGTACCCATCTTGCAAAACCATCCCTCCCAGATTAGCAACCTCTCTCAGAGCTGCCTTCCAAGCCTCCACCCTGCCATCCTTCTCCTCTTCAAGACAATCAAATGCTTCATGTTCAGACAATTTTGATGGATCCATATGATAAAAGACTGGCAAAACAATGAGCCCACAGATTTTTCTGCGCTTCATGATCATCAGGAGCTCATCTAAACACCACCTTGAAGAAGCATAGTCTTTTGAAAACACAACTATGAATATCTTTGACTCATGGATTGACTTTTGGATTTCGTAGTCAATGTTTTCACCCCTCCGAATTTCATTGTCATCTCTGAACGTGTGTAATCCTGCTTGAACTAAAGCAGTGTAGAGGTGATCAGTGAAATTCTTGCGGGTATCTTTGCCTCTAAAGCTCAAGAAAACATGATAAGAGCACCTAGAAGTTGATGAGGATACTTCTGGTAACTGGGATTTCGAAGAAGCAGCAGCCATTAATCAAGAAAAACTCTACAAGCTGATTAATGGATCATAACCTCAAACACCGAAGATCAATATACAACTAAATTAACTTGTCAACAGAGCAAAAGGCATCATAATACAAACAAGTGAAGGAGCAAAATAACTGCTCTTTCGAGTGTTTTGCTGCATCAAATGGTTCTCACTTCCTTTTTTTCTTTCTTTTTTAACCCAAAGCATCTTGAAAAAAGAGAGATCACACAGTAATGACAATAAGTCAATAACAATTAAGCTGCAGCTTCCCGTTGCGCGCAAACTTGTTAAAAGCGCAAGACATGTAGAAAATCCAGGGATTTGGAACACTTTAATCCCTGTTGTTTAAAGAAAGAAGTTTTGTAATTATGATGTGTAAGGGTACACGTGTACTACAGGGATCTACTACCTGGATGTTGTCTTCCAGACTGTTTAGCCATCAAAACAAGGGATCCTCGATATCTTTCGATGTGCCATTGGATGTTGGTCTCAAGATCAGTGGTTTGAGCTTGTGCATTGTATATGCTTTCAGTAAAGAACCCAGGTTTGAACATGAGCATCATGTTGAAATCAACAATAAGACCAAGGGAGTAATAAAATGGACTTGTATCCCATTCTTTCATGGGATTCCAAAAGTCAATGACGATATGTTATGGTTGAGCTACGGGATGTTAGTAGATCAGTTGGAAGGAGGGGACGAAGTGCAGATTTCAATGGACATCTAATTTGGGCTTCATGTGAAAGAATGTGGGATCCGCCTTGTGCATGATCAGTAAAGAAGTGGCACCCAATTGCACTGTAAAGAATGAGCACTGACCACCTCTGTTTAGTAAAATATGAAACTATCAATTCTGGGAAAATGTCCCATCTACACGTAATATGTCTGAAGATCAGCTTACTTCTCAGATCATCCAGCTACAAGGATAAAAATACGATGAGAAGCATATATCTGTGTATTTACATTTTTGCAGTCTCATGTTGCTGCATTTGTTTATTTCTGTTTTCCAATGCATCAAGAGCCTCATCCTCGTCTTGTAAACTCTCTTAGCTTTCTTTCAGGGAAATTGCATGGCCAATGATCATGATTGTTTTTGCGCAGCACAAACACAACCTACTGTGTCCACTATCCCAACAATCTCTTCGTAACTAAAAGGTGTACTTGTAGCACTACTCCCTGTCTATTTCTCAGGAATTTTGTGTTTCAGAGAATAAAAAACACCAAGAAATAGATAGTAGCAGGTGTCATTGTTTTTCCTTTTGTGTTAGCCTTTCATTTTATTTCTTTTCCTTTCCCTTTTCCCTGTAGAGATTATAGTAAATGGCATTGAAGTGTTGTGCTTAGCTCTAGCAATTACTCATTGCAATAACAAATAAATAAATCTCAGCTAGTGCAAAAACAGTTCAGGTTGACATCATCTCATCTCAGGAAATTCAATAAAGATGAAAGATCCAGCTAAAATCAAACACGAAATAAAATGGGAACAACATACTTTTCATGAAATTTTATCATCCATGCTTCACGAGCCACCATCAAACGCAAGCAAGGCTCTCAATATAGGGATGGGCATTAGCATAACGCCACATAAATGACGCTTTGAAGCTCTTTTCTCTTTTTTTGATGCGCACAATCTCCGACTTTTCATCGATGAAGATCAAAGAGTTAGGAATATCAACACAGTGCTTAAAAAACCATCGTCCAGAGCAGCCTTGAAGCAGCTGGTAGGCATCAAATTGTGCAAATGAAGTTGTTTCATATTTGCGAAGAAGATACAATCGCCCCCCTCTAGACACTTGAAAACGACTACATGCACCAGCAAGAACCCGTGGCAGTTGCATTGTTTTTAGTTGCTCTTGATCAATATCGAAATATAAATTAGAAGCACTCCGAGCAGTACCAGCATCCTTACGAGAACGGCCAGAATCAAATCTTACTGTACTATTCCAGTGAATGGTGCCCTTACAAAAGACACCTCGAAGAAAATCGACAGGAGGTGGATTGAAATATCTGATAGACACCCTCCATGTTCCATCTTTTGACGAGTAAATTTGTATCTGATAACAATTTTCTAAAAGAGTGTATTGGCATACCGCCACAACTTTATACTCTAGTGATTTCGAAGGATCAAAAGCTAAACTAATACCTTCCAGACGTAGAATACCTCGCAATGAACAAGGCAATGAAAGCAGAGGAGGGAGTAAAGCATATCTCTTGCTAGTGGGATTCCAAACACAAAATCTTGAGGAATATGTGTGGTTGTAGTTTCCATAATAGCGACGAAGTCTTTCTGGAGGATTGCTATCATCACAACACAGAAACAATCCATTACAAGATTCAATCATCTTAGTTTTCATGAACGGTTTGTTTTTCTCAAAAACATTGGCTGGGGCAGAATCATAATTATTGGAATCAAGATTCAGAAGAAGATGAAACTCGAGTGTACGGTTAGCCTGGAACACAAGGTCACCGGCAGAGTTGAGGTATGACCTGCGACGAGTAGAGAAGGCATGGCTGGTGATGAGGGCAAGCCAGTGCTTGGATACACACTTGAGTTTGAGGAGGGATTTCAGGGGAAGGAGGACAAGGATTTCGGTTAGCAGGTCTTCATTGTTGACAATTGTTTCCATTGACAAAGAGAATAATGGTGGTGGTGTTTTGGCTCCTTCTGCGCGAAGCATGTTGAATCCTGAAGAGTTTGGTCTGGCAGTTGAGAGGGAAGGCAGCGTCTATATACAGAAACCCTACTTGTGATATAATAACAATTATTATTAAATCCCTGTGTTTTAAATGAAATGATTATTTATTTTTTTTAGGATCTTTAAAAACGGGAACAACTTATAATTTTAAAAAATTTAAATTTTTTTATTAAAAATTATTATTTTTTATGTTTTGGATCAATCTTAAAAATATTTTTTAAAAAAATAAAAAAAATATTATATTAATATATTTTAACATAAAAAAAATAATTTAAAAAAAAATCACAATTATATTTTCAACTAGACCCTTCAACTCAAACAATTACAAGCCCCAAATAATTTAAGATGAACCTCCAAATTAGTTTGGGTTTAAAAAAAACGCTTTTTATTGGTTTTTCAAAGCAATTGAATTTTTATTTTATTTTTTGTTAAAATATTCGTTATTCATACAATACTAAAAGTGCATTTAAGAATGAATAATTTAGGAATTTTTAAAAAAAAAATAGCAATTAATCTTGATGAAGGATTTAATTTATGATTGTAAAAAACAAAGAAGCCAACGTACAAAATTATCAAAAACATAGGGACTAAATTATAATTTATTCAAGATGGTATATTAGTTGCGAGACAATAAAGTTTGTCAGTTAAATTACTCGTAGAGCACCCCTTTGTTATTGTTATTTGAATTTGTTGATTTAACTCGTCGTCAATTTAATTTATTAATGTGCTATCGTCTTCTTTTGCAATACGGACCTTACATCCCTCTGCAACAAGATTTATGCTTCTGAACGCCACCATCACGGTGGTGTTTGGTTAGTGTTTTAAGATTAAAAAAAAAAATTATTAAGATGTAAATTTATTTAGTTAAAAAATAAAAATATAAAAATAAATTTATTCATTGAATAATGTTAGAGTGAATTTGAAAAACATGATATATAAAGAGGGGAGTGTTTTTTGTGATGATATTTATTATTTTTATTCCTAAAGTATCTTTATAAAAAAGGTTTAATTTCAAAATTATATAAATATAATATATAAAAATAAAAATTATTATTATTGTAGTTTGAAATTTTATCCGGGAGTTAATTAAGAGCATTACTTGAGTCATTGAGTCAAGAGATTAAATCTAAATTGACTAATTTAAAAAAAAAATCAAAATGATATCATTTTGATCAATATTATTTATAAAAAAAAAATACAAGCATGTTTTTTATCAGATTTTACACCAAGTTATTAGTTGACTCAAGTTTTTTATCGAATTAAATCAGGTCAATTATTTCTATATTTTTTTAAACTTGAATTAATCTGGGTATCGAGTTAACTCATTAAGTCAGACTATGTTTTATAACTAAAGGTATTATACTATTATTATTATTTTCAATAATCAATATAAAATAAAGTAAAAATAATATAATATCCAATTATTTTTAAAAAATTGTAAATTTGATGGCAATACATACTAAAAATATAATTTTTTTGTTCATTATTAACCAATCAAATTACAAACACGAGCAATCTATCTTGTATATCACTATCATTAAATTTTTTAATATTTCATTTTTTTTTATTCTTCGTTGATTAAAAAAAGATATAAAGACAATTTATCTATGTTGTAGACCACTATCATAATTTTACTGTAGTCTCTTGTTTTGTATTTTATTCTATGATGTCGTTGTTTTAATTTTTTTTATCTTAAACGAAAACTAAATTATATATACCGGTCTAAAAGTTTAAATTTATAAATTAAAAAATAAAATTCGAGTTAGGTTTGGGATTCCTTATATACATTACAAGCAAACATAGAGGAATGACAATGAAAAATAGCATGTAAATATCCTCTTGATTAAAATTTATCTGGACTAAATTGCAAATAAGTAAGAAAAAGGGGGCATTTTTTTAAATAGAACAAAAACAACCCCTCTTTCTTTTAAAGAACATGCCGGTTGAGTATATGGAGAAAAGCAAAGAAATTTCTTCATTTCCATCTTCTCTTCTTCTTTTTTTTCCAAATCTAAAAGACTAAGTGGGTTTAGGAAAGGGTTTAGCTAAGGATTAAAACAAACCAGATGAGTCCAAAAGAGAGAGAAAGACGTGGGATGTATCAAGGAGTAATTTGGAGAGTGAAATGAGTAAATGGTGGCGGCAGAATATTTTTATTGTTTTAATTTCATTCATGTTTAAAAAAATTTATATGGATTGAAAATGTATGCAAGATAGGGTTTATACTAAAATTGCTGGGTTTCTTGAGTATCATACCCGCATCAAAAAAATATAAAATAAAATTATTTGAAAGTCTCTAAAATTTTATTAAATAAATCTAAAGTTATTTAAAAAAAATATCTAAAGATATGATTTTTTTAACTTTAAATAATTATTTAAAAGTTGAATCTTTGTAAATTAGAAATTGTCTAATTATCTGACCTTCAACAGTAATTCATATAAATTATCAATAAAAAATCTCTTAAATTCCTATTTAGAAGAGAAAAAAATTATTATGTCTGAAGTGTTAATTCTCTATTATGTGCTTGACAAAGTTTTTATGTCTAACAAACAATCACATAAAGGTATAATTTTTTATTTATAGGAAAATGTGAAAAAAAACCTATAAATTAGTAAAATATAAATTTATCTCTTGAATGATATCCACATATTAATTTAGGATAGTTTTAGAAAGATTAAGTTATTACTTAATGTTTTTAGGTCTAGAAATATAATCCATGTATTAATTATATTATAGTCTTTAACTTCTAAAATATATTTTCAAGTCATACTTAAATAAATCACCCTATCTTAAATTTTGATTAATGATTTATAATATTTGTGACCCATTAAGTTCCTAATATATTGGTTAAAATATGAATTATAATTTTAATTAAATAAAATTAGATAAATTAAATAATTTAATTTATCATCAATTCATTAATTGATTAATTTATATTTGAAGATAAGGTATATTATCTAGCAACATGTCATGATCCTTTTAATATTAGAAAAATTATTAGTAGTTTGACCTAACATTTCAGTAATTATTTTCGCAGTGTAATTAATATTTTTTTATTAATAATGTTCTAATTTAACATTAAAAAATGGAATATATCTACCATATTAAAATATATTAGCTCTATATAGTAGCCATTGATTATTTGAATAATATTTAAAACTGTTTTCAAATCTCATTTCATATAGGTCCATGATTTCTCACTCGGTACTATTTGAAAACACATAGAATATTTTTTTTAATTCACCTATGGTGATGAGATCTTTTTTAATTATTCAAGTATCTTCGTATAATTCATGATATATTCAATACATACCCCTTCGTTACTTCGATTAAGATAATATGTAATAGGATCAAAATATAAGATTTTCTATATAAAATAACTTAATGATTTTATGTCTGATGATCACTTACACAATCATCACATAAGTTTTTTCATAGACATAAATGATCTCTTCATATGAAATTCTCATGTGGATCATTTTAATTTACATGTTTTGTAACAAGTACCTACATATCAGCTCTAAATATCTTTTATACATCAGTTTATAAAAATAATTAGTTTATTTTATAAAAGAAATAACATAATATATATTAGTCTCTACGGCTCTGATAAATATTCAATATCTAAGAGAGTATCGATCAGAAACATTTTAGAAACAATATATTGATGGAATATAAATCATGTAATTATAATAACTTTATAATTTTTTTTTGTAAAATATTTTTATTTTATAGACCTTATCTTTACTCTAAATGTATAAATCAAATATTAAATATATTAATTTATATGAATATTAAAGATAAAATAAACTTTATTAATAATATATATATATATATATATATATATATAAAAGAAGATATTTGTGTATCAATAGAATTATTTTGGTTTTAATGATATAATTAAAAATGTAAATGAAAGAAAATTTATATAAAATATGGTTTTTTTTTCATGCTAGAGGCCAACTGGGTTTAGAAATGGTGGGTTCGAGAATTTTATCCAACTAATATTAATACCACTATCTTAAATTGTGTTAGTAAGAAAGATTGGTTTGGGTTGTAATGTTTTTATAAATCTTTAAGAAATTGTCAAGAAAAACTTACTACGTTGAGTGAATTTTGTACTAATGTTTTGGTTGTATTGTGAGAGAGAATAATTTGAAAATATATATACATGTCAATACGTGGAAAAGATTTGGTGGGCAAAATGGGAATTTGACTAGTTGAAACAGTGGTATTGTTAGAAACTTAGAAGGCCTCTTCGAAGCGGAGACAAAGCTCCTAGGAGCACGCGTCCGAGGAACTCAAGGTAAGAACTCACCACTGCCTCTTGAAATTTTATTATTTATAAATTTATGAAAAGTTATTGTTTAAACATTAATTGTCAGTCTTGAAATGATGAAAATAGATGTTGAAAGAATTGGTTTGCCTTAAGAGCAGGATAACGTGTTCAAAGAATTGATTTGCCTCTTGGATTAGGCAGTGCAATCCAAGAATTGATTTACTTTCGGGCGGGATAATGTATTCCAGGAATTGATTTGCCTTCGAGCGGGATAGTGCATTCCAAGAATTGATTTATTTTTAAAAAAATATTTTATCAAAAGTTTTAATTTTATAATAGAATTTAAAATATAGCTTAGCTAAATCTTGTTAAAAATCCAGACTAATCTATTTAAAATTCAATTATCAACCCATTTATTTGTTTCTGATACAATTATTTTATTAAAATAAATATTGTTTTAAAAAAATAAAATTAAAATTTTATAGCCACGTCTTTCAACTCAGAGGATGTAAAAGGTGAGCATAGTGAAAATTGGAATTGGATTGGAAGCATCATAATTATATTCTCAGAGACATGAAAGCTTCTCGAAGAAACCAAAGAGAATATTCGTTTCATGATTTAAAATAAAATAATGCACCCAAAGTTATGGCTTTTTTAAAGTCACCACCAGCGGGATGATAAAAATATTCGTGGCCGTAGAAAGCAAGGACAGCAAGCAGTGAATGATCGAGGCCCTGGCATTGGCGTGCCACGTAATAATACTGAGGTTGCTCTCCAATGATCAAACCAGTAGTGGATGCAATAAAAGAAGGGCTAGTGGTTGCCATTCTTTAGGAGCCACATGCCCCATGATGGATGGTTTGGTTTCTTGTGTTTGTTATTGTCAAATTTTTAGTGTTTATTTTTAATAGTAATTTTTATTCGATAATATATAAAAATAAATTTTATTAGTTTTTTATATTAATATATTAAAATCATAAAAAACTAAAAAACATCAATTTTATAGTTTTAAGTAAGAAATATTTTTTAAAATACTAAAAAACATAAATTACTGCTTTTTTTTTTTATTAAAAGGATGTTTAAGAGTTTAGTGGTGATTGTGTTTTAATATTTTTTTAAATATATTAAATTAATATTGTTTTATTTTTTACAAATTATTTTTAATATTGATATATTAAAATAATATGAAAATACTCAAAATATTTTTAATTTAACAAAAACATTAATTTTTTAAAAATATTAAAAAAAAAACAAACACAAACTCTTCTGAGAATATCCAGGAGTTTTGACAGAATATGCTTTAATAAAATATCAATGCCTCTTGACTTTTCATTATTGTGCTTGAATTCAATTATTTAACAAGTCTTCAAGTTAGCACACATTTTATGAGGTTGGTGTGAGGAATGTATTATTACATGAGTGCTTGTGGTGTCATGGTTGGTATTATTTTTTATTTTTAAAGATATTAACATATTTACTTTTATTTTTATTATTTTTATTATTAATAAATGAAAATAAAAAAATACAATGTAAATTAATTTAATATTTTTTCTAAGTGAAAAGATGTTGATGCAACATGAAACAAACATTAAAATTATTTTTAAAAAATCAAGTTTTGTTTGTTTATGTGATGTGATATAATGCTATATTTTATTTCAACTATAAATTTAAAAATATTTAATTAATTAACCCACACTATATTTTTTTTCTTTGAACTTTTACTTGAAGTTTTGGTTAAGAAAAATTATAAATGATAATTTTTTAAATTTATTTTTCAAATCCCCACCATAAAATTATTATAATATCAAACACAAACTAAACCTTAATTTAACCTCAACTAACACGTGCTTCCAGGTTTGCGCGGGGAATGCACCCTTAAAATTGATTAAAGAAAAACTTAATCTCGATTAGTGAAATCTCCCTACTGCTCCATGTATACAACTATGTTTAGATTTTTGTCTGTTTAGAGATTATATCAAATGATATTATGCGTGTACATTTTGTCGAAACTTGAGACCATGTTTGAATGATTTTATGGATATATAGTTTGCTAAAACTTTAAACTATGTTCAATAATGCATTTATCCTACATTTAAAAGTGTTTTGTTATGAATATTTATGATGGAAATAAATATAAAGTTAATTTAGAAGTGTAAAAATATTATCTTAAAGTATTTATTTACTTCATATAAAAACAACATTTTAATAATATAATTAAACCCTCTAAACTTCTAAGAAAATAAAAAAATAAAATCAATAAAAAATATAATTTTTTTATAGTTTTTTCTATAATTATTCATAAAATAAAATAACTGTTTATATTAGATTTCAAGTTTCAAATGCTATCTTTCAATATTATAAATATCTATGTAATAATATTAAAAAACCAAATAAAAAAATTTATACATTATAAATTCATTTATTATACAACAAGAACTTACACTTTAAAACGTTCTTATACTTAAAAATATTAGAATATAATATTTCTTTCTAATATGGAATAAATATTTTTTATATATATATTTATAAACTACACCGGTGTTTTTATGTTTAAGTTTGATATATATATATATATATATATATATATGGATGTTTTAACATATTAATTTAAAAATATTTAAAACACTTAAGAAAACATTATTTTTTTAATCCAAAAATGTTTGTTTTATAAAAGCACTCACACCAAATCACTAAACACATGCCTGCCTTTCTTTTTTATATTTGGTACTAAAGCAACCTGCCGGCAAGCTACCTTTACTCTATCTTATATTTTGTTCATGCTTTTTTCATTTTATTAGCTGCTTTAATTAAAAAAAATGTGTTTGAATGGCCTTCCGCTTGATCCTTTTATAAACCCCCACCCCCCCTACCGACATTCAAATTTTATTACATGAATCACTGAAGTTGCCTTGATTCATTCGCTGCACGTTTAGTGTGAGGTGTAAGTTGTTTTTTAAAGTAATTGTTTTTATAAATATATTAACATAATTATTTTTATTTTTTAATATCATTAGATCAAAACAATAAAAAAATTAATTTAATTTTTTTAAAAAATATAATTCAATTATAATGCCAAATACCAACTTAACTAGCTTGCTGGATACTCTGACATCATGGATCACATCACTGTGCACTGACGTACAAAATGGAACCCACAATATTTGGATGGGCACCCATATCTTTGCCTTGCTCCATACAAAATATCAGTGTTCTTTATGAAACTCAACTCTGTGGCCCTGCTGGTGGCGCTCAGCTGATCCGAATCCTGACCGATCCAGATAAAAAAAAAAAAGAATTCATATGATTTGCCTGATTACATATTTAACTTGACTTTTGATTTAATTAAAATTTAATAAAAAAATCCACTGATTTTGTTTTATTTTATTTTAATTAAATTAATCATCTTAACGCGTAATCCGAATTTCACTCCAAGTCAATATATAATTAAGTTTTAAGACCAGGATATCTTGAAATAGAAAAAACAAAAATAACAAGTACATGAAAGATTTTATTCTTCTTTTTATTTTTATTTTGGAAGTATATAAATTTAACTTATTAAGAAATCATGTCCTTGGAACTCCAAATTTTTTTAAAATATAGATTTATTTTAATTTTTTTATGTATATTTGTTAATGTGGTGAAGAATATTTTATAAAAAATATTTTTCAATTAACAAAATATTTTTTATTTATTTTCACATTAAATTATAAAATAAAATATAAAAATATTAATTTAATATTTTTTGAGTAAATATAGATTTAAAAAGGGGTTTAACCGTGTTATTATTTATTTTACGGGTAATGTAAGATCATAGGAAAGTGTGTTTTTATAACAATTTAGTGTGTAAATTTATGCGTCAAATACCTTAATTTCGAAGAAAGACCCAAATCACTTTCCCAAGTCAAATTAAAATAAATAATAAAATAATAAAATCCCACTCCCTCATAGCTAAAACACAGGAACAAGCTTTCTTCCGTCCTCCCCCTTCTATAGCTTCCCATCTCTCTCTCTCTCTCTATAACTACTCTTACTACACACGCTGTCTCGCTCTATAACAATCAAACTCGCTCACTAGCTCACAAGGCAACTCATAATTTGCAGTGTGAAAGCAATGGCAGGCAGTGCATTATCGGTGGAGGAGTTCTTGAACGAGTGCCAGAAGTCAGGGGATGCAGCGTACGGTGCGTTTCGTTCGGTTTTGGAGAGACTGGAGGATCCGAATTCCCGAACTGCAGCTCGGATCTTCCTTTCAGATCTCTATAAACGCGTCGGCGACTCCGATCAGTGCCTTGAACAGTACCATTTCCGGATCCAAGATATCTTCTTGGATCAATACCAAGGTACGTAGTAGTGGTAGTACTAGTCATTTCTCTTACCGGAAACAAACAAACAATGTGTGTGTTTGGTTGCTGAGAAAATAGAAAGAAACGGCAATCAAGAGTTGAATTTCGAGTTTTATTGAGTTGATTTAGTTTCAGTTTTCCGACTGTTTGGATGCTGAGAAACTTTCAAGTCTTTGAAAAGGAATGGAAGTGAAGTCGTTTTGTCTCTGGAAAACGCTATAATTGACTTCCAAATAAATCTCGTCCGTTGGATGATCTGGCGATGAGATTTTCTAAAATAAAATATAGCCAAACCAATGAGAATGGCACTTTCTGATTTAGTAATTTATTTTTTGAATTTAGGAAATAATAATTCACAGTTTATGATTTTGTGAATTTGTTTCATTTGATTTGCTAGTGTTTTTCTGGGAACTTAATACGACTACTTGTTTTGGAAGTTTGCGTGTGGTTTTCATGAGCAGCTGGTGAGTTTCGTGCCTGTTTTCGAAGTTGTGGTTTCCAAGAAAACAGAGAACGAGGGATTTCTCAACGATAATAATAACAATAATAATACTCCACTAGTCATCGAAAACGACACCATCTTGCAGAGCCAAATAATAATAGTGATAATGAAGAGACTCGAAGCTTTGAAGACTTGGATTATTTGGAATCTGTCGTTATCCCTGTAAAACCCAACAACTTGACATTATTTGGTGTGTTTTACTTTTGGTTTGCTTGTACTTTGTTGTTGTCTTTTTAGCTTTTTAATTTGGAATATGCTACCTTATTATTTGGTAAAGGGCAGCATAGGTTAACGTAATTCGGTTGGAACCTTTTTTTCCCCCTTGGCTACCAATAATACTTATTTCCTTTAGGGTAATCTAACTGTAAGTCTATCAAATCACTGGCTCTGATCTTAAAAATAAAATAATTCAAGCAAAGATGGATTTTGATTCATCTCAAAAAGAAGAAAAAAAGCAGAGAGGGTGCTGATTTTAATTTCAAAGATATGTTTGCTCCTTATTAAAAAGAAAAAAGGAAAAAAAAAAAAAGAACAGAGAGTTGTTCTAAATGTATAGCATTTCAATACGTAGTAAGTATACCGTACACTGATTATGCAATTGTCATTTGTTTCAAAATCCGAACAATTTTCAAACTGATTTTATAGAACTTTTTATCAGTTCAAGGCCACTGTTCCAGATTAATGCTACAGCACTTCCAAGATCTTATCATGTAATCATTTTGTGGCTTTCGCTATTTTACAATAGAAAACCCCCTGATTTTTGTTGAGTTTTGCCTAAAGGATAACAGGGTGATTGCTAATTCAGGTCTTTTTTTGAAAATGTTGAATCCATCCAAGTCATCTCCCTTACAAATGAGCTAATTCAACCATTCATTGGTTTTCTAGAATAGACACACTTGCGGTTTGATTCCTAGTAAGCTGTTTAGATATGTTATTTCTGCTAGTTCTGATATAGAGGTGATATTTATTTGTTGCTCTATATAATTTATTGTTAGTTTTTATCTATTTGAATACTAGAATCACAGAAGGACATGTTGATATTTTCATTGCTTGATTTTATGAGGACAATGTTCTTTGCCAGGTGTGGGCTACCGAGGGAGAAAGAAATTGACCATGATGGTGATCCCAAGCATTTTTATGCCAGAAAACTGGTCCTTCACTTTTTATGAGGGCCTAAATAGACATCCGGATTCTATTTTTAAAGACAAGACAGTTGCTGAGCTTGGTTGTGGAAATGGATGGATATCCATTGCTCTTGCCGAGAAATGGTTGCCATCAAAGGTTTGTTGTTTTCCCTGAGTTTCTTTACTCCTCTCTACTTAATAGACCTTCGCCAAGTGACCTTTTGGTAGTAAATAATCCTTGCAGGTGTATGGCCTTGATATCAATCCTAGAGCAGTAAAGGTTTCCTGGATAAACTTATACTTAAATGCTTTTGATGAGAAAGGTCAAGTCATCTATGATGCAGAGAAGAAAACTTTACTGGACAGGGTGGAGTTTTATGAGTCTGATTTATTGTCTTATATTAGAGATCACAACATTGAACTTGAAAGAATTGTTGGATGCATACCTCAGGTATTATTCCAACTGATGATATGTAGGTGCTTGTAAATCATACTGGATTTAGCTAGTTTATGCAGTGGCTAGTTGAATATTTGTATTTTCATGCTAGTTATTTGACTGTTACTTTTACTCATTCCCTTGTTCTACTGCCACAGATACTTAATCCAAATCCAGATGCAATGTCTAAAATGATCACAGAAAATGCAAGCGAGGAGTTTCTGCATTCATTGAGTAACTACTGTGCACTTCAGGTATGGGTGGCTCTATAATTTAGCAGAAACCTACAGTTTAATGTTGTTGGTAAACAGAATTTAAGTGCATCAACTTTTTTGCAGCTGAATAAAAAAAAAAAGATGAAACAATTGGGGCTGTATTGTTCAAATATCTTAATTCTCCCCCAATTTTATTTTCATTTGATGAACTTGTTTTAGGAGTCTGCTAGAATATGAGTGGACAATTCCTTTTTCAGTTGATTCCGGCCATAAATTCCTGCTTAATTTTCTAGCTGAATACAATTTCAAAATTTTAAACTTCGAATCTCATTTATGCTTTGAGAATATCTTGATACTCAGTAGCATATATTGAGTTTGATTTGTTAATTTTATTTTATGTAGGGGTTTGTTGAGGATCAGTTTGGCTTAGGTCTCATTGCTAGGGCTGTTGAGGAAGGAATAGCTGTCATCAAACCTATGGGGATTATGATCTTTAATATGGGTGGTCGTCCAGGACAAGCTGTTTGTAAACGCTTGTTTGAACGTCGTGGTTTTCATGTCAACAAGCTTTGGCAGACTAAAATTATTCAGGCAAGAACAAACTCCTCAATTGAAAGCCATTTTTCCTTCCAAAGTTAGCTAGTGCTCAAAATGCATTTTTACAGGCTGCTGATACAGATATTTCAGCCTTGGTTGAAATTGAGAAAAACAGCCCACACCGCTTTGAGTTTTTCATGGGTCTCACTGGAGATCAACCCATCTGTGCTCGTACAGCATGGGCTTATGGGCAAGCTGGTGGTCGAATTGCACATGCTTTATCCGTTTACAGTTGTCAACTTCGCCAACCAAACCAGGTCTGCACTTGATTTGAGTTTTTATTCTACCAAGCTATTGTTTATTGATTCAAATGTTTTATGAGAGGAGTTGCTATCTCAATAAATTGATTCCTTTTGCCAGGTGAAGAAAATTTTTGAATTTCTTAAGAATGGCTTCCATGATGTCAGTGGTTCGTTGGATTTATTTTTTGAAGATGACTCAGTTGCTGATGAGAAAATCCCATTCCTAGCTTCTCTTGCCGATCAATTGAAGGAGAATTCGTGTTTCCCATATGAGCCGCCAGCTGGAAGCATACATTTCCGCAATCTCATAGCAAGCTTTCTGAAAACATATCACCATATTCCACTCAATTCAGATGTAAGAATAAATTCCTGCTTAATCAATAACTGCTTGTATTTTTCCATGCATTTGTTGTGCTCAACTTGTTAATAGAATTATCTGAACAGTGCTAGAACCCTCATATAAAATTTATTCACCAAGTACAGGGCATTGAACTAAATTGCAAGGCCCTTGTATTTGCGTGATTGTACTTACATAGCCTTAGTGCTGACTTGTGTTTAACTTTTTGCAATTCTTGCACAAGAATGTTGTTGTCTTTCCTTCAAGGGCTGTGGCAATTGAGAATGCTCTTCGCTTGTTCTCACCTCGTCTTGCAATTGTTGATGAACATCTGACTCAACACTTACCCCGAAAATGGTTAACATCTCTAGCCATCAAGGTATGTTGTGTCATTCTTGTTGTAGTTCATCATCATATATTTCTCATGATGTCATAACTTGGATAGCTCTGAATATTCCAGAACCATACAGGCAAGTGCAATGTGGCTTGTGAAATACTTGTATCTTTCAAATAGCCATTCTGAAAATGAGGGCATTGAGTTAATGGTTTTATTCTTGGTGTCTTCCGAGGCTTATGTGATTTCTTAGGATGTGTAGTCAACAGGGAATTAACCAGTTATGATTGTTCTGCTGACAATGCAATCATAATCAGGAATGCTTGGAAAACGGTGAATAGAACTCTGAAATTTTACTGTATATTTATGCTTTGTTACATGTTTCTCTTTTTGTCCATAAAGAAACGATGCCCTTATTCTCTTGGTAACTGTTAAACTTTTAATTTTTTATTATATTTCAGATACAGTGCTACAATCATCTTATGATTCTCCTTTGATAGGCATAGTACTTGTCAAGTAGAGAAGCTCCTTTTATTGACAATTTGGTTCTTTAACAATGCAGACGCAATAAATCACTTAATCGATCTTGTTATGTTCCAATGATTCTTATTGCGTGTGTTGTTAGTGCCCATTTGGTTATGTGGTGCATGGTACTTTTTAAAAGTGTATTTCAATTGAAAATGCATTAAAATGATTTTTTTTCCAGAATTTTTCTTTTTTGACATCAGTGTATCAAAACCATCAAAAAACATTAATTTAATGTTTTTTTAGGTGAAAGGCAATTTGAAAAGTACTTTGAATACTGCAAGCTAATGCAATGCTAAATGGGCATTTAGTATATCATTTACCACGTTTGTGTTACAAATATCTCAGCATTAAGAAGTCAATCGTTGTGCCCATAGTAATTGAAGTATGGCCATCTTACTTTGAGAAGCAGTTAAAATGGTTTTATCAATGAAATGTGTAGGACTAGTCAACAGTTTTTCGAGGTATATTGTTGGTTAGCTTCCTTTTGCATTAGCAGCTTCTGTCTTGTGAAATTATGTAAAAAACTTATGGAGCAGTGTTGTGCTACAGTAATCCTAACCAGCTTTGCTAAGATGTGACTTCAGTTGCTGCATATCTACTAACATTTTCTGCACATTGTAGAGTGCAGAAAGTGATGACCTGTCAGAGGATGTGATTACAGTCATTGAAGCACCTAGACAGTCTGATTTAATGGTAGAGCTGATAAAGAAGCTGAAGCCACAAGTGGTGATTACTGGAATGGCTCATTATGAGGCTGTCACTAGTTCAGCCTTTGCGCACCTTTTAGAGGTTACCAGAGAAATTGGATCTCGTCTTTTCTTAGACATATCTGATCATTTTGAGCTATCCAGCCTTCCAAGTTCCAATGGGGTCCTAAAATATCTTGCTGGAACTTCTCTTCCTTCACACGCTGCAATCATCTGTGGCCTTGTAAAAAACCAGGTATTTTTATTTTTTTTTATCTAGATAAATTAACTCAGGTGACTGCTTTATTAATTGATCCAGGCATGGAGTCTAGGATTTCCTGTAACCTCGGTTCGTTTACCTTGTTGATGTTCTCTATGTTAATGACCATAACATCCTTTGCAGGTCTATGCAGATTTAGAAGTAGCTTTTGTTATTTCAGAAGAAGAGGCCATCCTCAAGGCTTTGTCCAAAACTGTGGAAGTTCTAGAAGGAAATACCATACCAATCAGGGAACATTATTATGGTTGTCTTTTTCATGAGCTTCTAGCTTTTCAGCTTGCAAACCGACATCCACTAGTAGAGGTTTGCTAGTCTTTTTCTTTTTATCATTATCATTATCATTATTTTGGAAATAGACAATCCTTTTCTCCATGATGCATTTGAATAAATTTTGTTTAATTTGTAATAGATGCAAATCTACACTTTGCAACACTCCAAATTATACTAGATACATGCTAGTTATTGTTCTGTCCTTTTTTTATCAAACTTATATTGAAATAGGTCTGATGATTATATCTAAACTAAAAGTATGGAACGAGGCTACAGAAGAAGGTAGGCGTTGATATCTTGTTTAGGCTTGTCTATCTTATTTCCATTTGCATTTATGACATCTCAAGTGATTCTGCTGTCCTTGGAAGAAAAGGAAGTGACCCTGGCTAGGAAGTATGTAGAATTATGTATGTTGTGCTGCACCATGACCTGTACTGGATTTACCATGCTTCATGGTCTAGAACTGATGTTCAGTCAAATGTTTTTTTGATTTCCTGTTTTTTGAATGATTTAAAAAGTTGATAGTACTGGTCCACAGTTTTATTTGTTGTTAATGAATGTTGTTTCTCTGTAAACATTCTTCTGTTTCCTGGAGGGAAGCTTGCTCACGAAGTTGATTTTCAATACTTATCTACAGAGGGAGTCCGAGAAGGCCAAATCAGATAAGTTGATTGGGTTTTCTAGTTCAGCTATCTCAGTCCTTGATTATTCTGAGTTGTCAATTAGTGGGGCAGAAATATCTACCTTGATTCACATGGATGTTGATCAAAGCTTCTTGCCCACTCCATCTCCTGTAAAGGCTGCAATCTTTGAAGGTTTTGCAAGACAGAACTTGGCTGAATCGGAAATTGATGTCACCCCTGGAATGAAGCAATTTATTAAAAGCAATTACGGGTTTCCAACAGATAGCAGCACAGAATTTGTGTACGCAGACAGCACACAAGCTCTGTTTAATAGGCTGATCCTTTGCTGCATTAATGAAGGTGGAACATTGTGTTTCCCAGCTGGATCAAATGGAAACTATGTTTCTGCTGCAAAATTTTTAAAAGCAAACATTATGATTATCCCTACTGACTCTGAAGCGGGCTTTAAGCTGACAGGCAGCCTACTCAATGGAGTACTTCAGACTGTTAATAAGCCATGGGTTTGCATTTCTGGTCCCACAATCAACCCCACAGGCTTGCTTTACAGCAGCAAAGAGATGGAGACCATATTAACTACTTGTTCAAAATTTGGGGCTAGAGTTGTCATTGATACTTCAGTCTCTGGATTGGAATTTGATACTGAAGGTTGGGGTGGATGGGATTTGGAGCCTACATTGTCAAAGCTGAATTCCTCTCACAACCAATCTTTTTGCGTGTCTTTACTGGGAGGATTGTCTCTCAAGATCCTTAGTGGAGCACTGAAATTTGGGTTTCTGGCTTTGAATCATCCTCTGCTGGTTGATACACTTCATAGCTTTCCAGGATTAAGCAAACCTCATAGCACTGTTCGGTATGCCATAAAGAAGTTGCTGGGTTTGAATGAGCAGAAATCAGAACTAAGAGATGCTGTTGCAGAACAATCAAGAAATTTGCAATTTAGGTGCCAGCGCCTAAAGGAGGTAATTATATCTCGTGCTGGAGACTCTTTATTTGGCATTAAATAATTAGTTTGTTCAGAATGTGTTTGTTATATGTCAAATATCCATTTTCTAGGGCGATGCTAAGAGTTCTGAACCTGCAGCCAAGAGGTTGAAGGTTGGGTTTACATTTTTTAAATATGAAATGGGCCATTGCCTGGTGTAATTGGTGCTAGACATAAGCAAGTTTTAGGCTTGAAGCCTAAGATGTGTAAATAATACTCAAGGACATAACTATCTTTGAGTTTTTGTTCCCAAAATCTTGCTTTGATGAGGCCTTGAATGGGTACTAGATCTTTTTTGACTAGTAACTATGAAACCTAAGCTTGAACTAAGTGGGATTGTAGAGTTTTTCCTGGGGTTCTGCCTGCAAAAGAGAGAGTTCCCGTGTTTTTCTTGTGCCCAGTGTCATAGTCTTTCATGCTAGACAATTCTATGCTTACCTCAGCGTTGATGATTTAATGCTTGCCAATCTTGCCTTGGAGTTGAGAGTTGAGACAATGTCAAAAGTTCACGTAGTAACCATCCCTCACTCACTCTCTTTCTCTTGCATTGGTCTGTAAGATCTTTGCTGATTAATTACACCATTTCTATGTTAAAAAAAAAACCATGAGATCCAAATACCTTTTCTTTCTTGTTAGAAATGTTACAAAATAAGCATAGATTTCTTTGAATGTGCAACATAATTGACAGTTCGTGTTTCATATTTTATCTCAAATCCTGCAACAAAAAATCATCTCAATCCTGCAGTGTGCTCTGCCTGAACTGTTCGTAAATGCCTTACATAGCTGATAAATAATTAGAATTTTTTCTAATACTTTTCTTTGCAATAGACACTAGAGAAATGTGGGTGGGATGTGCTCGAGCCTCAAGGTGGCATTTCCATGGTGGCCAAGCCCTCTGCCTATCTCAACAAGGTTATCAAGATCAGACACTCGCCTAAAGACAACGGGAAAGCTACAAGTACCTATGAAGTGAAGCTTGATGACTCGGTCTTCAGGGAAGCCATGGTCAAATCCACAGGTTTATGCATCAACAGTGGCTTATGGACTGGAATTCCAGGCTACTGCCGCTTCACACTTGCCCTGGAAGAAAGTGACTTCGAGCGAGCATTGGATTGCATCGTCAAATTTCAGGATGTCATCAACAACAACTGAAGGGATCCATTATCCTATTTTGATTCAGCATTTCTTGACTTAAGTGTGTGCAATAAAGAAAATACCGCGATCCATCCGATGACGAGACTCCATTTCTCCTTGAAGTGTTTCGACAGATGAGGTCTTTCCTCTGCCCTTCCTTCCAAAATGATATGAACCCAATACATACTACTTGTTACAATGGTACAACTTTTTTGTTGTGAACCTTCTCAAAGTGGCCATAATGAAATGGTGTTCGCACTCCGCACCTTCTCAATATTAGAATTCTGAAGTTGCTTTATGGCAGAAAACTATTCTCACATTCCAACTTTTTCTCTTCTCTAATACACTCTTTGATATCATCTCTTTTTTTTCTAGGTTTTTTCCTTCAATAATGAAACTATTCTCGGATCATCAGTTGAATCTCACTTTCCTTCTGGAGAATCTTAAAAAATGGCATGTAAAACGATAGAAACAACTTCTATATCTCGAAAGGTACAAATATGCACCAAACAAGGAGCACATGGGATCATATATTTTCCCGCTAGTTGATTCCATAGGGTTTGTCCTGATAGCATAACCTCTAAAATAAAACAAGGTCCTGATAGCATAACCTCTAAAATAAAACTAGACAATAATATCTTTTTTTTTTGTTTTTAATTTACATGGGGTGTCCGGGCCAGCTTGCGCGTACCATGACTAATCTTCATGACCCATTGAATACCCTGCAAACCCAGTAGGCATGTAAAGCACCGCGGGGTGACAGACGTGCACACCAGGGCTCGAACCCAGGTGCACTGGAATGCATCTTCCACCGCTAGGTCAAGCACTGGAATGCACAATAATATCTTAATTAGACACTAGATAGGTAGTCTGGTTACACTGTGGACCGATCCACATTTTTTGAAAATGCCAAAGCAATGCAAAAATCCTAAATAATAAAAACAAAATAATTGAGTTTAATAAACTTGTATAATTTTAAGCACCGCGGGGTGACAGGCGTGCACACCAGGGCTCGAACCCAGGTGCACTGGAATGCATCTTCCACCGCTAGGTCAAGCACTGGAATGCACAATAATATCTTAATTAGACACTAGATAGGTAGTCTGGTTACATCGTGGACCGATCCACATTTTTTGAAAATGCCAAAGCAATGTAAAAATCCTAAATAACAAAAACAAAATAATTGAGTTTAATAAACTTGTATAATTTTAATAATATAAGAATTATTTAAAAAAAACTAAGAAAAAAAATTCATGTTAACTTGGGTTAACATGTTGTAATCATGAATCTAGAAAAAAAATAAAAAAAATAAAAATTAATTTTCAATAAATCAATCAATTTTTAAACAATGAGATTAAAAAAGTTAAATTTAATAAAGAATCTAAAACTAAGATTAAAGTCGGTCCATGTTAATATTTAAAATTTAAAATTCTAATTCTAGTATTAAGCACGAGACTCACCTTGTAGAAAGATAAATTTAAAAAAATAATAAAGTAAAATTCTCAATTATAGAATAATGAAGGGGAAATTAGGGGGGAAGACAACAAAAAAAAATCTAAAAAAAATAAATATTAATAAAAAGAAAAAAACCAAATTTCACATAAAAATAAGTTAAAATCAAATATTGATGGATGAAATTGAAAATAAAATTCAATTAAAAAATAAATAAAAAAAGTAAATAACAATTAAAAAAATAATGATCAAATTTGATATAAGAATCAAATGAAATCAAATGATAAATAATAAAATTAAAAAAAATCTAAAAAAATAAAAAACAAAACAAGTAAAAAAAATAAGGACTAAATTATATACACAGAATAAATAAAAGGAAACTTTTGCATTTTACAGAGAAGAGCTGAGAGAAAATAAGGAGGAGAAAAGGTTTGCCAAAACCGTACCGCTGGTCCATCACCGGAACACATGCCTTACATTTGGTAAGTCTCCGATCTATTTATAACACTGCTTTTCATAATGATGTTTGTTTGGTTAAAAATTCTGTAGGAGTCGCTGAAAAGAGTCAAGTTCCTCCATCTCTTGAAGCTTGTGCTACACATATTCCTCCATCTCTTGAAGCTTGTGCTACACATGTTAATTATTTTAAAAATATATATATATTTTATATATATTAAAAGACTTAATTGCTCTTGAATCTATTTACTAATTATAAAAAAATAATAATAAAATAGAAAAAAATACCCGGAAAGCAAGTTCAAAAGAATGAAATGTTATGGGTAGTAAAGTAATTATATTGTGAAAAAAAAGTTAAAAAAAAACTTGCATATTTTTTTATTTAAAAGGTGAATTAATAATTTTATTATAAAAAACCAATTTACCTCTGTTTAATCTGTTAATATTAATTGAACCCTCTAAAAAAAGTATTTCGCGCACTGTAATTTGCCTTGTAAAGGACCAAAAAAACGTCATTGTACTGAAGCAATCCAAGGTGGATTGTGTTTTACTGCGCAATGTTTCGCTCAACACTCTTGGTTATATATATATATATATTTGAGGAGGGTAGGGTTAAATCATAATTTTTGTATACATCATAATAATATCTTTAAAAAAAAAACCAATATATATTACATAAATTATAACCACCTACCTAACTTCATTTTTCTCTTTTTTTATTCCTTTATTATTTGAAGAAAAGATAAAGAGTCCTGGATTGAGAGAAAGAAAATGACAGTTAGGGAAAGATTCCGACCTTCAAAATTATTTATTTTTTTATTAAAAAGTTTTATATAATAAAAAGGGTTATGCTTAGTATTTTTTTAATCTTTAAAATACCTAAAACAACAAATATGAGCTTAGAAATAATTTTTGTTTCAGATGAATTTTAGATTTTTAAGTAGTTTTTTGATGGTTATGGATTGGTTTAACAAAATCTATAAAGTGATTTTTAAATATTTTGAGTTAAAATGGATTGAAAATGAGATTTTAGATAAAAAAACAAAGAATTTGATTTTTTCAGCTCTTATAATGGCTATATTTTAGGTTTTTTAGGGGATATATTTTTTTATAAAACTATTTAGGATATATTCAATTTTTTTGAAAAAATAAAAGCCTGTATTTATATATGGTGTTGCAGGCTGCATGTGGGTTGATGCTTTATAATGCCTAGTGTGTTTTCCTTTTGTTTTATAATTTTTTTTTTAAATAATGTATTATTTATGAATATGTTTTAAAATAAATTTTGAGTTTATATTTTAATTAGATTGTAATTATTTTTAAATGATATTTGGTGTGTTTAATTTTTATAGAGGCATGCATGATTTATTTGTGGTTTTTTTTTTAATTTTATATATATTAAATTTCTGTAATATTAATTTTTTTATAAGATTTTTCATATGTGTAACCTTGTATTTTTTTTTTACTTGTTGTTCAATAAATTTTATGTGAGTGTTAGCTCTCATTACAAATTTTATATATTTTTTTTTTCAAATTTATTTTGATAAAATTTTTTATTAAATATAATTAGATAAATTACCCACAACTCCTGCAAGTTTTAATTTTAAACCTAAGCTAATTAAGAAGTAGAGTGAAGATTTTTTTTCTTGTCAATTTCTTTATTTTTTTTCATTCCATCCACATAATTTTTTTACTAAGTTCAATTAACTTTAGATTGATTATAATGATTAAATTATATCAAGATAATTATCGTATTATTTGATTTTAATCAAGGCTAAACAAAAAAAAAAATTGGTTAATGAGATTTTTTATGTTAATTTAATTTAATTTTTTAATTTTTTGTTAATTAAATGTAATGTTTTTGAATTAGATAAGTTGATTGGATAAGGTTGTAATAATTTTTATTTTTAAATTAAATTAAAATATTTAGTTAAATTAAAATTTTTTAAAATGAATATACTGAGTTGGATTTAATAATAATCTTAAATAGTTTTTGATAATCTAATTATTTTTTAATAGGAATTGTAATATAATGCCAGATTATAAACTAGTATTATTATAAGAAAAAATAATAATTCTTTTAAAAAAATTCATTTTCTTAAATGATTTCTAAGTAATTTCTTATGGTACAAACAAATAAAAAATTATTTTATAAGAAACTATTTTCCATGAAATTCAATTTTCATTGTTTTTTTCCACATTTTCGGAAACAAACGAGTCCTTAATATAATCCTTACTCTTTTACTTCTGCATATTTAAACTTAAAAATCAAGACAGAATTATAAAGCTACTCCACTCCTCCCTCATTTCCATTCTCAAAACAGCCATGGAGATCGACAGCGAAGATAAAACCCTAGAAGAAGAGCTAGACGACGAAGAAAATAACAACAACGACAACGGAGACCAACTTCAGAACCCCAAACCTCAGAACCCCAAACTTCGGTCGGACTCCGATTCCGATTCCGACTCAGAAGACGAATCGCAGCAAAATCAAGAGCTTAAAACCCTAGAAACTGAGCTCTCCAGTAACCCCTCCAATTATGACTCTCATACTCAAGTAATTAACGTTAATCCCTCTTTCTTTCTGAGTTTCTAGTTGTAAAGTAAATAAATTTATTGTATGCATTGATGCTGCTTGCTTGCTGTTTTTTAGTACATAAAACTGTTGAGAAAAATGGGAGAGATAGATAAGCTTAAACAAGCAAGAGAAGCCATGAACAATGTGTTCCCACTAAGCCCTGACATGTGGCGTGATTGGGCTAAAGATGAAGCTTCTATTTCTGGGTAATATTGTTGTTTCTGTATTTTCAATGACTATTTTTTTATGCTTTATTGATTGTTGCTGGTGGTTGTTGAGTTGATTCATTGATTGATTTATTTTTTTCAGGCCAGAGGGTTTCGCGGGGGTTGAGAAGATTTATGACCGTGGAGTGTTTGATTATCTGGTGTGTTCTTGTTAAACTCTTTTAGTAATACTTTAGGGTGTTATTTTGTTTTTTAAATGTTTTCAGGACTTTTGGTGCTCTGATGCTCTACTACTATATATAGTGTGCATTCATAGAACGGCTATTGTTTGATAATGGAAGAAACACATAGGATAATAGTTAAATTTTGAAAAAACGAATGCTGTGCTCTCAGGAATCAGGACCATTATGTTGTTGTGTTGTTTGCAGATAATTTAGTTTTATAGAATTATCTATGATTTGTTTAGATATCCCTGCTTATTTTCATTGGCAAGCTTTTATAAGATAAATAGACCTTGTGTTTATTCAACTTTTGTCATTTTTGCATGGCTTTCTCAGCTAAAAGAAGAAAATATAAAAATAAATTCCAGTATTATTAATTTAAGAAAATTGAAGCTGATGGTTTCATGGATTTAATTCGTTGTGTGATTGTCTTTACATATTAACTAATGGCATGTGTTCTGAAGCTCATTGCTTCAAAAATTGACGCAGTTGACTGT